GAGTTGTGTTTCTTGCAAACAGAAGAATGTTGGATCCTGTTTTTGTATCCAATCTCTTAGCCTGTGCCTTTTTATAGGTAAATTGAGCCCATTAATATTAAGTGATATTAATGACCAGTGGTTGTTTACTCCGGTTATTCTTATTGTTTTTGGTAGTAGAGATTGTGTGTCTCCCTTCTTTGAGATGTGCTGGTGAAGGGTCGCTAGATGCCTGAATTATAGTAGGCAGTGTTGGCAGTGTTGGATTCCTTGGGTTGTGATTTTCCTTCTATTACTTTCTGTAGGGCTGGATTTGTGGCTACGTATTGTTTAAATTTGTTCTTATCCTGGAATGTCTGGTTTTCTCCATTGATAGTGAATGATAGCTTGGCTGGGCATAGTAGTTTGGGTTTGCATCCATGGTCTCTTAGCTTCTGCAGTACATCTATCCAGGACCTTCTGGCTTTCATGGTTTCCATAGAGAAGTCAGGTGTAAGCCTGAAGGACCATCTCACTGTTAGGCAAGTTCAGCAGTCATTTCTCTGTGAGTCCTGCTTGTCCAGTTCATATAGCATAGCATCAATCAGTCCAGGCAAGAGCAATTTCTTGCCCAAATGGCTATCAAAGTCCATAAGGAGCCTCTTTGATGTCCATCATCCTCTTGAAGTAGATTGGTGCTGCCAGGAGTAGATATGTCTCATCGTCATGACTGGGCTAGGCACCAGTCCTTGAGTACAGCAGAACACCATTAGGAATCATTCATTGTTTCTTTCTTGTTTCTGCCAATTGTTTGGTTCTGTCCAGTCTCTGGGCCCTGACCAGTGTCAGGATGGGTTCCCTCTCATGGTGTGGGCCTCAAGTTGGCCACACCCACAAGTTCTTCTCCACCAGTATCTCAGCACATCTTGCAGGCAGGACAAACTATAGATTGAAGGTTTTATGGCTGGGTTAATGTCCCAGTCCCATCACTGAACGCCTTGCCTGATTACAGAAGATGGCTGGTTCAGGTTCTGTATTCCCCATTGCTAGTGTAAGACTTTAAGACAATCCTGAAGCCATTTTTGACAATTCTGAATCCTCTCAGCCTCTGTGCCATAGTGCTTCCCCTCCTCCCCTGGGAACCAAGGACCTAACAGCTACACTCGCACGTACTCAGTTCCTGAACAATTACCCATATACGTATGCTTTGGTTCGGTCCCCTGGGAAACGGGGTCAAAATGACCTCTTACCTCATCTGATCTGGCAACAGCTCTCCAGTCAATTATTGGTAATAGCCCTTTCAAATAAGCCAATCAGAATAGTCAAAGAACAACCCCCCTTGCTTCTGTGGCCCCTTTAAAAGTAGACTGTACCCGCTATTCGAGGGCCCTCGGCTTCCCAAATGCTGGGGGACCCTGTCATGACAGAATTAATAAAATCCTCATGCTTTTACATCGGCTGTGGTGTGTGAGATGGTCTCTGGGGGCGACTCCTTCTCGGTGTTTGGACGCTAGAGTCCAACACTAGGAGTCTTCACTAGGGTCACCCTCATAGATTCAGAACTATGGAACATGTCACGACTTTGCATGGCATCCTGGTGCGGGGGCCACGCTAATGTTCTCTTTACAGATCCAGTGTGAGCACATGTGCTGCCGAAGCAGGCACCCAAGGTGAGTTTGCATTAAGCAAACATTTTATTGTTCCATCTGGCATTTCTGATCCAACAGCTCTGTAATTTTCTGGTACATAAAATATACCTCACAGTTTCTAAAATCTTCTAAAATCTAACATTCATGCCAAATCTGTTTATTTATGAGGTTCCTGTAAACCAATACCTTTCGGTTCTGCGGGTGACTCCCCTGAGACTGTGAGCACACCTTCACCACCGCTTCCAAGCCTAGAGGCGACGCTTCTCCATAGCTACTAACAAAAAGATCGAGCTGGTCGGCTCCACCTGTCTTTGACCACTAAAGATGCGATCTTTAAAATTGCTTGTATCTGTTTGATCACACGAGTGTGGCACATCTGTGTTAAAGAAGCAGCGGGCAGTGAAGGAGGCTGTGCAGTTCCAGGAGGTGAAGAGGAATAAATGAGGCCTCTCGGTGCTGCTGAGTATTCAACCTGAGAGGTCAGATGGGGGAGGAAAATACCCCATAAGTCTACCTTCGGCCCACAGCAAAATGTTTGGGGGACAGTATTTATTTATTTATTTATTTATTTGGCTTTTTGAGATAAGATCTCTCTACATAACCCTGGCTATCCTGTAACTCACTATGTAGACCAGGCTGGCCTGGCCTCATACTCACAGAGATCTGCCTGCCTCTGCCTCCTAAGGGCTGGGATTAAAGACATGCACTACCATACCTGGTTTAAAGAGCATTTTGCTCAGTCCTTTGCAGCCTTTCTTTATGGTATATTGAATGTTTAAATGATATTACTGTGTCTACCTGTTCCATACCTGCTTTCACCAAATAATTCATTATGAATATTTTAATTTTAAGTAGTTTTGTTTGTTTGGTTTGGGTTGGGTTTGGGTTTTGAAATGAGGTGAGCAGCCAGAGCCAACTTTAGCTGCATGAGGATCACTCTGACTCCCACAGCTCCTGCCACCCCCTCCCAATGGCTAAAATTTCAGCTGTAATAAACAGGATGCCAGCATGCTCGTGTGTGGCGCACGCTTTAAATCCCAACAGAGGCAGGTGAATCTGTATGATTTCAAGGTCAGCCCTATCTATATAGTGAGTCCCAGACCAGCCAGTGTGGTGATACCCTGTCTCAAAACACAAGAACAAGCAAACATTTATGTGGTAATTTTTATGTATCAGTCACTATCTAAACCCAAAAATATCAACTCCTGACCTTGCACCAATCTCTTTGTCTCTCAAGGTCCCTCTTCCCTCCCTGCCCTGCTGTGTGCCCTCCTGACTAGATTAAGCTCTCCAAACCCCCCTGTAGCCTGACAGCCTCATGTTTGTCCATCAACAAAATGTTCTAGAAGGAATTGTTGCTTCAGCTTCCCCTCTCCCTGCATAAGGATTTGCCGTTAGAGTTCGTGGAATGGAAGTGTCTTCCATATTTATTTATTTTAGGTTCAGCCACCTGATCTGCTTTAGCTAGTGTAACATTTGTGGTCCAGGCATGAGCGCAGACCTGGGTAAGACCAGACTGGCCAGTTTGGTTTGACTCCTGGTCCATATTTTCACTCAGACAGGCCCGCGAAGCTGATCTGAACCAGCCCTAAAGCCAGAAGCAAAGCCCAGTCAGCCTGGGAGGAAGAATAAAACTTAAGCAGTTGGAACCACTTAGGTGGGGCTGCCTACCTGCCTACCTGCCTGTCTGTCTGCCTGCCTGTCTGTCTGTCTGCCTGTTTGTCTGGCAGCTACAACCATCTAAGAATAGATGTCTGAGGAGGCTGAAGGCTGAAGGCAGGCCGTTTCCCCTCCCCACTTACCTCCCCTCCCCTGCTCCCCCTCTTCTCTCCTCTTCCCTTTCCTCCCCTGCCCTCTTGTTTCTCTTTTGTCCTTTTTCTTTCTCCCTCGCTCTCTCTTTCCTCCTCCCTTCCCTCTCGCGTTTTCCTGTGTCTACTCACTTCCTATGTCTTCCTGTCACCCTATCCTTGGTTCCTCCCTCTACCCCTGCCATGGATCAGGCTAGCCTTGCCCCCCTCACCCTCAGCTGTGCAGAGTCCTGTGTAACCTGCCCCCCAACACACACACACACACACGAACACAGTCGGAAGAGATCATTTACTTGCTATCTGAACTCTGATGAAAACCCTTGTACCTGGAGCTGGAGCGGCAGCTCTATGGTTAAGAGAGTGACTGCTGCTCCCCGACCCAGGACCAGGGTTCAGTTCCCAGCACTCATATGGGTACTCACAACTGTCTGTAACTCCAGTTCCAGAGGATCCAACACCCTCTTCTGACCTTGGGCACCACTCAAACACATGGTACACTTACATCGTGCAGGCAAAACATCCTATACATGTAAAAAGCCATAATGATTCAATCATTGTTTTAAATCCTCTTAACCGTTCTATGGATGGCTGCCATTGTCCCCACATCACTAATGAGGATAGTAAACCAGACAGGGTCACACTCAATGGCGCCCTGAAGCTGGGGAACAAGGCATGCTCACTGGGCTCTGCTGCGGTGGCTCTCTCTAAGCATCGTTCATTTACCGGTGCCTTTGGTGGTGGCGTTTAGATGGTTTTTCTGTTTGTTATCATGAATTTTCCTTTGCTTGTCTTTCTTCTCTCTTTCTTCTCTCTCTCTCTTTCTCTCTCTCTCTCTCTCTCTCTTTCTCTCTCTCATTTTTCATGACAGGGTTTCTTTGGAGCTTGTCCTGGAACTAGCTCTTGTAGGCCCGGCTGGTCTTGAACTCACAGAGATTGATCTGCCTCTGCCTCCCAAGTGCTGGGATTAAAGGTGTGTGCCACCACCATCAGCATCTTTCTTTTCTCTTAAGAATACTGCAGGAGTGAGCTACACAGAGAAACCCTGTCTTGATAAACTGTAAATCACTGAGTGAATAAGTAAGTAAATAAAACGTCGCCGCGTGTGCATCCTGTATGTGTGTGCTGGCCCCTGTGTGCACAAGTAAGGGCCTGAGGTCAATGGCAAATGCCTTTCTCTATAGTATCTGCTTTAGCTTTGAGACTGGGTCTCCTGCGGAGCCTGGAGCTAGCCATGGAGTACCTCTAGCTCTTATGTGTGTGCTCAGGACCCAGGTCCTCGTGGATGCACAGCCCACAGGGGCTCTCTACTACTGAGGCATTTCCCAGCTCTAACCCTTTCTTTTTAAAAATGCTGCATCCTTTTGAGTAGGAATCTGACCTGGTTCAATATACAAAAATTCATGTATTTCAGAAGTAAATATCAGAGGACATGGACATCTCCATGATTCAGTAGCTGTCACAGGGGACCTGAGTTCTGTTTCCAGGCTATGCTAAATAGCCTCTAACTCCAGATCCTGGGGATGTGACACCCTCTTTTGGCCTCTTTGAGTAAACACACACTCACAACTCTTTAAAAAATGAACCCATACTTACCCAGCAGGACAGATACCATGATCACGAAGGTGGTTTTCCCAGGGCGAGGCTTATCCATTGCACTCCCCATCTGGCTCTGCTGTTTCCCTAAATACAGGAAACTCGATTGCATAATTTGTGATGGTGGGGAACTCATTTGCATTCTCCCCTGGTTAAAAAAAAATTAAAAACTGAACCCAGATCTGGAAAGTTCCCTTTAGCAACCATTATCATTATAATCATTTTTATTAGAAACCTATTAATGTGTGCTCTAGAAACACATAAAAGTAAAAGAGACAAGAATCATTTTAATGGAAGATCAAGCTGTGAAAGACTAAGCACAGGGTCAAATCGTATACAGTTTGGTCATGAGACACTGTCGCGGCCAGGGCACAGAATCCATAACTGCTTCCTAGCCCATTAATGCAGGTCACTATCGTTTATTTAGCTGCGTCTCTAGAGCTAAATGTTCAGTTACTTCAGTTATTTCTTCTTTTGAACCGTAATAGCTAAAACGCCTCTGGACATAATGAGAGAGAGAAAGACATCTGCACAGATCTCTGATCGCTCCCCTAGAGCACATTTCTGTAGAATCAAAAACTATGCGCACTGATAAGGTCCTTGTTTGCAGTGACAGCCAGCCTCACTCCCACTGCCCCACCAGGACAGGAGAGATGGCTCAGCAGGGACAAGCCCTGGCTCCCCTTCCAGAGGACCTGGGCTCACTCCCAGCGCCCACGTGGTAGTTCACGATCCTCCATCACTCCAGCTCTGGAAAAGCTGATGCCATCTTCCGCCCTCCTTGAGGACGGCATATGCATGCGGCATACGCACACATACAAGCCAAACATCCACACACAGAAATTAAAATCAAAACAGCTTAAAGGGAGCAGAGCTTTCTTACAATTTGTTTCCATCTGGCCCCTCAAAACATAGAATTTTTCACAATCTTGCTGGCATTTGTACTTCTATGCCTTGCCCCAGTGTCTTTTTTTTTTGTTGTTGTTATTTTGTTTTCTTTTTTATTTATTTATTTATTTATTTATTAAAGATTTCTGCCTCCTCCCCGCCATCACCTCCCATTTCCCTCCCCCTCCCCCGATCAAGTCCCCCTCCCTCATCAGCCCGAAGAGCAATCAGGGTTCCCTGACCTGTGGGAAGTCCAAGGACCACCCACCTCTATCCAGATCTAGTAAGGTGAGCAACCCAACTTCCTAGGTTCCCACAAAGCCAGTACGTGCAGTAGGATCAAAAACCCATTGCCATTGTTCTTGACTTCTCAGCAGTCCTCATTGTCCGCTATCTTCAGCAAGTCCGGTTTTATCCCATGCTTTTCAGACCCAGGCCAGCTGGCCTTGGTGAGTTCCCGATAGAACATCCCCATTGTCTCAGTGTGTGGGTGCACCCCTCGCGGTCCTGAGTTCCTTGCTCGCGCTCCCTCTCCTTCTGCTCCTGATTTGGACCTTGAGATTTCAGTCCGGTGCTCCAATGTGGGTCTCTGTCTTTGTCTCCTTTCATCGCCTGATGAAGGTTAATATTCAGGAGGGTGCCTATGTTTTTCTTTGGGTTCACCTTCTTATTTAGTTTCTCTAGGATCGCAAATTATAGGCTCAATGTCCTTTATTTATGGCTAGAAACCAAATATGAGTGAGTACATCCTATGTTCCTCTTTTTGGGTCTGGCTTACCTCACTCAGGATAGTGTCCAGTGTCTTTTTTTGTCGTGACCTTTAACCCTTCCTCTAAATGTCTATCATAGAATCAGCAAGGGTTTCCCCCATGTCCTATTTTAACTAGACTTTTTACAAATGGATTTTTTAGTAGTCATAGTTAACCTGTTTTTACCCTGACACTATCTACCATTTGTGTTATATTTAGAAAGACGTTTTTCACAAGAACACCATGTAAATATGCATAGGCCTGTTTGCCCACACGTGAGTCATGAGCGAGGATATTAACCTAATTTATCTTCTAGTTTCAACTTCGTCATAGGTTCTTTTTTTTTTCCAGGGTGGATATATGAATTCAGCTTTTTGAGTATTGAAGTAGAAAGAACCATGTTTGTACCCCAAAAGCATCTGAGGCAGTAATTGGGAAGTAGAAGAGCTATGTTTGTGCCCCCAAAACTTCTGAGGCAGTGACTGGGAGGTCAGGTTTCTTCGTGGCTCTGCTGACCATCAGCACACTGGGAATCACACGTAACTACTGCCTGAATACACCTGTGGTGCACACTCACCTACAAATAGGGAAATTTTTAAGAAGTTTTTTTGGGGGGAAGGGGTCCGTCACCTGAAATTCTTTCCCTTTCTTCTGTCAAGCACCCTGCTAGCCTTTTGTCATTGTTTGTTTTGTCCATCTGTCTGTCTTGTTTTTGAAATGGGTTCTGCATCAGTTACTTTTCTGCTGTTGTGACAAGAGGCTGTGGCCGAGAGCAACACAAGGCAGATTTCCTCTGACTCCGTCCTCTGGGGCTTCCCGAGAACTGGATGTCTGCAATGGTGGGAAGGCATGAATGACAGAGGAGCCTGAGATGAGATCACATCCCAGCCACCCTGGAAGCAGAGAGAGCAAGCAGGAAGTAGGGTGAGGCTGCAAATCCCCCAAGCTCTCCCCAGTGATGTGCTTCCTTCAGCAAAGCTCCCCCTGCCAGAGGCTCCTCCACCAAGGCTCCAGCAGAGGACCAAGCGTTCAGGTGCATGGCCTATGATACATTTGTGGTGATGGGAGACTCACTCAAACCACCAGAGATTACACTGGGCTGCCCAAGTTGGTCTCAAATTCCTACGCTCACACTGATCCTCTTGTCTTGTCCTCCTAAGCAGCCTGGTGACCAGAGCATGCCACCAGGCCCAGCTGCCCTACTATCTTGCCAAAACTAAGTCATTTTTTTTCTGGCTGTGGGACTTATGAACTAAAATGGGAGACATCCAAGGTCAACTGGAACAAGGCGTCCCTGTGGCTGTCAGACTCCCCCAAATGTGTGGGAGACAAGTGCAGCTCATACAGGGATTCTGGTCTGAGGGTGGAGTAACCGTTGGTGCTCTGGTGAGGGTGTGTGTGTGTGCTGAAATGTCCTGTAGATCATGAAGAGAGGTTGGTTTGGGCCCTAGGAAGTTGATTCAGCCAGTGAAGTGTTTGCCATGAAAGAGGACCTGAGTTTGGATCTCAGCCCACACATAAAGAGCCCAGCATTGCTTATAACCCAGTCTCTCGCGGGTAGGGCAGAGACAGGAGGATCCGTGGGGCCCTCTGGCCAGTCAGTCAAGCCAGGTAAGCTCCAGAGTGGGGGATGGATCCTATCTGAAACTACAGGAAGGTAGGAGGCTGATGGGATGGCGTGTGTAGAAAGGTGCTTACTACCAACTCTGATCACCTGAGTTGAATCCCTGAAACCAACCTAATTGGTGGAAGAAGATACTGACTCTCACAAGTTCTCCTGGGAAGTGTTGTATGGCATGGGGGCCTACAGACATGCATGCACATTTGCACCTGCACTATTGCACATGCGCACACAGACACACATACACATCATAAATAAATAAAAATAAATAAATGAATAAATAAAGCAACTAAAGAAGACACCTGATGTCTGCCTCTGGCCTCCACATGCACACGCAGTGCACACGTGACTATCTATCCACATGTAAGAACACATGTGCAAAGAAAGAAGGCTGCTCAAACTGAAGAGTGGAGGACTTGAACTAGACTGAAGAACTGGAAGGAATGTTATGATGTGGGGTTCCAGATCTGAAGGATCAGAGAAGTATGACAGGAAGAGATGATTGACAGCACCCAGCTACCAGCCTACTACAATAGAGTCTAGGTACCACAGAGGGAAGGGTGCTTGGCAACCAGAAACACGATAGACATAGAGCATCTCCTTAGGGTATCAACCATGGAGTTTCCAAGAGTGAACAATTAGGAAAGGGAGAAGGCACTGCAAGGCTTCTCCTAAAGCCTCAGTGAGGGCCACCAGCAGGTAAGGCACTTGCCACCAAGCCTGACGACCTGAGAAAGGAGAGAATCAACTCCCACAAGCCGTCCTCTGTACTCTGTATTCATGCACACAAAATAAATAAATCAAATTTTAAAGACCTTAAGGCACTCACAGAACAATGTGGAAATCTTGCGACCAGTGTGTTGCTCCCTCCCTTCAGCTGCCCGAGCACCAGGGCTAAATTTAGTGTGGGGCAGTATAGAGAGGCAGCTCCCACTGACTTCTGTCGCTTCCTCTGGCTGGGCATTGTTCTTTCATTTCCTGAAATACCTTACTTTGCATTTCTTAAGAAAAAAATACTACCCCAAAGATGCATTGGGATAAAATTAGATCATGAAGAAAAATGTAAAGATGAAAGCAAAGATTCCTGCAATTGCTCTCAGTTTAACTGTCTGTTGCTTTCCTGTGTTCTCTCCCTCTCGCAGGGAGCCACTGACTTTTTCTGTCTGGAAACTGAACTGTGCATGTTTTCTTTGGGGGAGGGTGAGTTATGAGGATTTCATTGTGCAGCCCAACACAGCATGGCATGGAACATGAAATCTTTCTACCTCAGCCTCTAAGTGCTGGGATCTCAGGTGTGTGTCGCCACGCCCAACTCTGAATGTACTCGGTGTGTGTGTCTGTGTGTCTGTGTGTGCCGCCACACCCAACTCTGAATGTACTCGTGTGTGTGTGTGTGTGTGTGTGCCGCCATGCCCAACTCTATATGTACTCGTGTGTGTATATGTGTGAGTGTGAGTGTGTGTGTGCCGCCATGCCCAACTCTGAATGTACTTGTGTGTATGTGTGTGTATGTGTGTGTGCTGCCATGCCCAACTCTATATGTCTTTTCTAGTTGGTGTGTTTTATATTTTGTTTTGTCTTGAAACAGGATTTCAGAGTAATACAGTCTGGCCTCAAACTCACTATGCAGCCAAGTTAGCCTTGAACTCCTTCATCCTTTGGTCTCGGTCTCTCAAACAAGGCTTACAAAACTGTGACATCATGCCTGGCTTGCTGAATGCGTTTTCTGAGTCAGTCAGTGAGTTAGTTGATTGGCTGGTTGGTGGTTGTTTAATTAGTTGAAGCACAGTCTCCCAAAGCCCTGCCTGCTCTCAAACTCTCTCAGTGATTGAGGATGACCTTGAACTCCTCATCTTCCTGCCTCTACCTCACAAGCACTGGAAGCTGGCACT